TTTTTTGTTTTTTTTTTTGAGCTGAGGATCGAATCAAGGGTCTTGTGCTTGCTAGGCAAGCACTCTACCACTGAGCTAAATCCCCAACCCCACAAAGTGTATTTTTTAAAGGAAAAATTTTCAGGCTATTAAAATGGCCATTTCATGCTCTGTTAGTAGAATTACAAATGGATATAAACTTACTTGAAAAATGTTTAGAAATATTAATCAAAGACATTTTAAAATTCCATATATTTTAAATACATGATTCTATATTGATAAACTTAATTAAAATTAAATAATTAAGAATGGAGAAAATTGTTTAACTAAATGATAATACTTGATGAATTATTGCTAAGTCAATACAATAAAAATTCCACTCAATACTATGTAGTGGGTAGCTGTTCCAACTTTGACCAGGAAGTACTACATCTAGTGAGGTTTCTGGTAACTGCTATGCCTACCTATGACCAGCCCCTGGGGCAGGGCCAAGACAGGAGTGCTTAAGACCTGAGATCCAGATGTGCCAGCTCTCTTGGTTCCTGGTAATCCTGGATACTGGATGGTAGACCAAGCCGAGTTCTCCAAAGAACACCACTGGACTGTACTTCACCTCTCCTCAATCCTGTAACCAACCCCTTTACTAGCTGTAAGTTACCCCAAAATAAACCTCCTTTTTAACTATGTGGACTTGCCTTAATAATTACCCCAAATAAATAGTGATCGTGAACTTTCAAAATAGAGGGTGTCTATTATATATACATTGAAACTGGTATTTTAAAGAGTATATATTTATTAGTGATATCCATGATTATTAATTTGTTTTATTATTCCCAACAATTTCTAGATCCAATAAGACACAGAATTTTCCTCCTACAAAACTCTAGAGAGAAAAACAGCAATTTACAGGACCCTCCACTCCATATCTGTAACATAGAGTTCTCAAAGTAGGGTGTCATACCTCAGGTTGCGTAATTCTTCATCCCGTTCCACTATTTCATCCTCTAACTTTGATTTCTCCTCTCTTGTTTCTGATATCTCCTTCTGTAGAGCATTATTCTCATTTTCCATTTTTTCATTTTTTTTCCTAAGTAGTTCATTGATTTTTTGAAGATCTACTAATGCATTGTATGAATTAAGTGATTCCTGTATTTTTAATGAACTTCCAGAATCTGCATGAAGGAAAAGAGAGACAAAATAAAATACATTAGTGCCTTGTCTGTGTAAAAAAAAAAAATCTATACATTTTGACCACCTTTCATTTATGTTCTGCACAGATGTAGACTGAAAGTCTATGATGCAAATTACATGAAACTAAATTCTGTAAAAAGAACAGATTAGATCTATGTTCCTAGTGTAAAGTCAAGTAGAAAAGACAGATCAATGACCATTCAGATACCTATGGTTAAATAAAACACACACACAAGAGTTCTGTGATCCATAAAGTTATCATCAGTGCACACAAGAAGAAATCTCAGAGGAAAAGATGGCAACATTGGAAAATAATGCATGAGCATGAATCTGGTAGGCAAATGGTAAAAAGGACTCTAGACAATGGTACCAAAAATACTGTGATCTGCTTCTACCTAATGTGGGGAAAGGGTAGTGATTAACATTAGCACATGAAACAAACCAGAAATTAAATGCTTTAAGCAATTTTCAAGACAATGGACTTCAGGTAGTGAAAACCATGAATTCCTAATACCCCAGCTCCCTGCTGCAAGAGGGATTTTAAGCCAAGACACAAAAGAATGAACTCAAGTAGTCAGCCAAGATGAGACTATTTGCATAATCTTAGTGTTTGAGAACTGAAAGTGGAAGAATCCTCTGAGGGCAGCAAAGTTCTGTCTTGGAAACCAAAGAGAAGTTGTAGCACTGAGGTTGTGGCTCAGTGGGAGGGAGAGCCCTAGCCTAGACTGTCCAAGGCCCTGGGTTTACTAAAAAAAAAAATTCTGACAAAATTAAATCCAATTTATATAAATGAAGAGGTAAGGGAGAAAGAAAGGAAGGAAGGAAAGAGGGAGGGAGGGAAGGAGGAAAGAAAGAAAGGAGGGAAGGAAGGAAGGAAGGAAGGAAGGAAGGAAGGAAGGAAGGAAGGAAGGGAAAAGAAGGATTACATAGGGATGTGGAATATCTAGAATAGTGAAAACCCAGAAAAGCAAGAGGGACTAGACAGCTGATTTGCATGCATATTCTAATAAAATTAACTTTAAAGTATTTTTGCATTTAAATAACTCACCATCCTCTGAGACTGGTTCAGATGACTGAGTTACATCAACCATAGCTCTTACTTCTTTTGTTACCTAAAAGATAAATACTATTATAAAATACCTTCGATATTCATACCACATAATATACAAAAGTAGCAGTTACTTGCTTTATATAAACAAAGCCAAAGGAACCCCTGAAAAGAAATCTTTTTTAAATTAATATATTTTATTAGTTCCTTAAGGGTTTTATACAATGTTTTTGATCATATTTACCTCCTCCCCCAACTCTTCCCAGACTCATCCTCCTTCCCTACACATTAAACTTGTGTCCTTGTTGTTTAACCCTTCAAGATCAATTCATACCGTCCAAATATGCTTACATGTGCTACCCTCCACAGCCAGGGGCTACCTGTCTCTTCCAGCAACTGGTGCCTACCAGTGGCTTCACAGCTAGTGGTGGGATTGTGTAGCTAATGCTCCCCTTCATGTTGGGATTTGGGCTGGCTTAGCTTACCCAGGTCTTATGCATGCTGCTACAACTACTGTGAGTTCATATGTGAAACTGCCCTTCTGTGTTTAGAAAATAATGTTTGCTTGTAGTCATCAACTACCTCTGGCTCTTATACCCTGTCTGACCCTCTTCTGCAATGACTGTGGAGCATTGGGAGTGGTATTGAGGTTTAAGGTTGAGCATTCTGCAGTCTCTTATCCTTTGCACAATAGCCTGATTTGGGTTACTGTGTTAAACACCATCTATTGCAAACAGAAGCTACTTAGATGAAGGTTGAAAGGTACATTGATCTGTGAGCATTACAAATTGTTAGAAGTCAGTTTAATAGTATGTCCATTTAGCAGCATACTGATATTAGGTTCTTCCTTAGGGTCTATGACCCAATGACCCAGCTAGCCAAAAGTTCTTGGGCCAGTAATTGTGCTGGTATGGGCTTCATCTCATGGAGTAAACTTTAAATACAACCTTTCAGAAAGTAGCTATTTGCTCCTAGGACGTTAAAGCCACTACTGCACCGGTGGACTTAGCTTGCCAGGCCAGTCATTACTGTAGTAGTTCACAGGGTTCACAGCTAAATCAGGCTGATGGTTCCATTTCTCCTGTAGTTGATTGCATAGCATCTTTCAGCACTATGAAAGTCAACCACTATGGATGAAGCTTCCATCCATCCCAGCTTCATTGTGTCATGTTCTATGACTCAAGAGGGTGGTGTCTTCAGGAAAAAGCCACTTATATTTTCTTTGTAAACTCATTTCACCCAAGTCAGAATGTCTAAGGTCAACAAAGCAAAGGCCTATAAATGAATATGGGGAAACAGGAACATCTATTCATTGCTGGTGGGAATACAAACTGATGCAACAACTATGTAAATTAGTGTGCAAGTTTCTTAACGACCTAAAAATAGATTTACCATAAGTTCCAACTATACAACTCTGGAATACACACAAAGCCTCCACATCCTACTCTAAAGATACTTGCTCATTTGTGTTCATTGCTGCTTTACTCACAATAGGTAGGAAGTGGAAACAGCCTAAATGGCCATCAGCTGATGAGTGGACATTGAAAATATGGTGCATTTGTACAATGGAAATTTATTCAGCTATTAACACAAATATCATTATGAAATGTGTAGGTAAAGGGATGGAGCTGGAGATACCCATTCTAAATTCTGAGTGAGGTAACCCAGACCCAAAAAGAGATGCCAGACGTTCCCTCTAATCTGTGAACGGTAGCTTTGAATTTCAAGTATGCATGTTTAATTTGGAATACCCAAAGAACTCAGGGATTTACTGAGGGACAGTGGCCAGGTGCTTTTAAAGGAAAGAGCTAGAAAGCATAGGTGTAATGTGTTCACAAGGGAATAATTAAACAGGAAGGGTTAAAGTGGGGTTGAGGAGCAAAGGGTAGGGTAGAGGAAAGGACTTGGAAAGGGAAAATAATATTAAAGACTTTTCAAAAAAGGCATATAGAAACCTACTACTGTAGACTCTTCCACATAGAGAGTTAAAATGGAGCTACCCAATAACATGGCAGCAACACCCCTTCTAGCTACCAAAAGCTAACAACTCAAAAGCCAGTGCCAGGAATGGGTTTCTTTGTTGGGAGTTTTTGGCCAGTGAGGTCCCCCAGAACCCCAAACATTAAAGCCTATTGTCATTGCTCTTGGTTACCCTCTGGAATTTAAAAATAAAATGGATTCTTTTCTCAATAGCTACTTTTTCTTAAACATAATTTCCAAACAGGTGGTTTTAGACAAAAAGATTCCATATTCTCTTTACCTTTTATTTTGTTTATATTTTTGAGGCAGGGTCTTTATCTGTGCCCCACACTGGCCTAGAACTCACAATAAACGATCATCTGGACCCTCAGTCATGGAATCCCCCTGCCTTCCATATATAAGTGTTGAGATTCCTGATGTGTATGGGTTTGGGGCTCTTTATACTTCTTCACTTTATGTTTTATAATGTATTTTAACTTAGAGTCTTATAAGATTTTACTGTCTTTTATATAACATGGTGAGTAAAGAAGTACTTTTGATTCTCTTCACAATACCTTATGTTTTTTCTTAGATGTTTTCTTTCGGGGCCTACAAAAAGCACAAATTAATTTCAGGAAACTATTAATTATTAATAGAAAGCTATCCATTTGGGCTATGCTACTTATTAAGTATATATAGGAAAAATACTAATGTTCTCTGCATTTTGATAGACAACAATAAACAAGAGTAATGCTTTTCAAAAAATATTAAACTTTTACAAACACTAAAATCTATTTGAAAAATGGATTAACTCCTTACATGAAGGAAACAATTTAATAACAATGTTAAGAAGTACATGTTCAGGATAGACTTTGCAATTGCAGTACAATATTCTAATTACTGTACATGGGTTGAACTAATTTCAAATTTATTAGATAAAGGATACGTTAGGCATTTTCTAAAGCAACAATCTAGACAAAGAAATACCAAGTAATTTGCCCAAATACAAACAGCTTGTCAATTAGAGAAGAGAATTCACATCTCAGAATTCTGCCTGCACAGCATGTGATGTACAATATCCTAAAAACTTTATTACGTTTCTTAATGAAATCAGAATGAAAAAAATCCTCTTACCTCATAAAGATTTGAATAGAATCAATCTAAGTGTAATATATAACAAAATATCTTGTATGTGGGTGATGACATCATTAAAAATACACTTTATTTCATTAACATCATTTTGCATTCAGCACAGTGTAGCAATTTAGTGCCCAACTCTGTAGGGCTTAACCTGCTTTCCTCTAGAACCTAGGACCAACAGCCCAGGGATGGCACCACCCACTATGGGTGGGACTCTAGCCCATTGATCACTAATTGAGAAAATGCCTTACAGTTGGATCTCATGGAGGCATTTCCTCAATTGAAGCTCCTTCCTCTCTGATGACTCTAGCTTGAGTCAAATTGACACACAAAACCAGCCATTATGACAACCCTGAATAAAATCCTTAACAATATAACTTTATGCACTAGTAAAAGCATAAAATTTGTCATATGAAAATTATTCCAAATTAAAATTTTTATAGGACAATCGCAGTTATCTACTACTAAATATTATGCTCTTACCCATCATGCTCTGTATTCTCCATAATAAGAAATCTCTGGTTATTGATTTCTCCAGATCTTCTCTGTACAACCAGTTCATCCACAATGGAAGCAGCAACAACAGCAGCGCCAGCAGCAGTAGACGCTGCAGAAGCAGCAGTAGATGCAGCAGCAGCAGCAGCAGTAGCAGCCGCAGCAGCAGCAGTAGATGCAGCAGTAGCAGTAAAAACAACAGCTTCATAGGGGTGTTTTGCTTCGTCTCCTCCATTCCTTGCATGCGTCTTTGATTTTTCAACCTTCAACAAAAAGACACAAGTGCGTCTTACCTCCTCAGTTGCTAGCATTTTTTGTTAAAATCCCATATTTAGAAATGTCACATTTTGGAGCATCCATAACAAATGAAGATTTCCCCATTCTCTACTAAGATATCATCCTTCCCCGACCCATTTCATTTTTTGATCCTTTTTCATCTAGAAATTAAAATATCAAAAAATAAAATAAAGGTACTAACAAAATTGTAGGAGTTGATTTTCCAGAATTTGTAGACTTTAGACTCAGTTTTTTAAGTTAAACTTGGGAGGGAGGGAGGGAGGGAGGGAGGGAGAGAGAGAGAGAGAGAGAGAGAGAGAGAGAGAGAGAGAGAGAGAGAGAGACAGAAATGAGCAAGTTTCCCACAAGTATCATATAAAAAGTGCAGTAACTACAG